TATAAACAGTCCTGAGCTAGATCAAGCTTTGATCTCTGCAAACCAAACTATTAATTTAATTAAACGTTTTTCCCCCCACTAATAAAAAGATTTTATCATTAGCTAGCTCCACACTGGAGAGCTGCTTTATAACAGCAAATCAAGTTGTAATTCTAACTAAAAGTGACACTAACTCTGGTTTTGATTTAAGGCTATTGCATAAAGTGCTATATAAATAAACTTGACGTGACTGGACTTTACTGGAGTACCGAACTGTTGAGCTCATACAAACATCCACATCACTGTAATCAGATGCGTTCTTAATAGTGGTCGACCGATATGGGTTTTTAGACAGCCGATGCCGATATCTTGGAAAGCTTTAAGAAATTTTAAATCATTTGAAAATGGATTAAAAATAATTGTGTAAAATAAACATACTTATACTTAAGCATTTTTCACAAATAAATAAATATTTAATAAAAATCTAATTCAAAAGGAAGTAAACACTGTAACCAACAGGGCACTCAGTTTTCTGGGAAGTTTGGGTGCATTGGGTTATAATAAAAATATAATTACCTTCTGTCCGCATTCAATTCGCATGGACCGACCGTCACGCAGAGAACACGCGATCATGCAGAATACAAATGCACACTTCACAAGATCTCACAACTGGGTTCTAAGTTTGCAAGATTTTTTTAATTAAATGTTCATTAGTCATTCAAAGATTTGTTTAAATGATATAAATGTGTATTTGCTGAATCCTGACGGAAAACGAGAAAGTATTATAATGTTTGCCTTTCTATAACTAATAATATAAAAGCAATCGTTATAATACCTTTTTGTATACATTTTAATTCCTTTGTTTAACAGTTCTATCTGATTATTAGATAGACTTGTATCTATATTAGACAGAACTGAACGACGACAGCGAACAAGATGGAGAATGTGAGCACTGTGTGCTCAGACACTGCCGTTCTCAGCGCCGTCATTGGTGCTCGTTATTGTATTTTAAAACACTATTGCAATGTTTTCAACTGACATTATGGCTTTTAAAATAAAATTATCCAAAACGTAACTGTGGCGCGGGTGGCTGTGCTGCGCAGTCAGTGAACCGCTTCCATCGGCGCTGCTGCAGCCGCTCGCACGTGTTTTGCGCATGAGCCGCATGCAGCCCAAAATTAAACTGCTTAATCGACCATCGATAGCTTTAATCGATTGCATCTCTTATCGACAATTAATCGATCATCGATTAATCGTTGACATCCCTAGATGCCGATATTTGAAAAATGCCAAATATCGGCCGATATATCGGTCGACCACTAGTTCTTAACTGCTGCTTTCTCAACGCTGTCAGTTTTTGTTGTGTTTATTTTGTGATTAAGAGGAAAGCGTGCAGCATATATTTACATATTCATCCAAACGCCGCTCAGCAGCTTCAGGTTCGGCTGCGTTTGCTCTGAAGTGCTGTGTCTTCTCCTGAATTGCATCCAGGAGGGCTGAATTACAGTCTTGCTCTACAGCACCACACTGGTCAAACCACATTATTGCAGGCTCTTACATTTATTAGGTCATATGAGATCAAACGGCTATTCAACAACAGAAATTTGAAATTGTCTACATTGTTGATAATGTCAACTTATCGTTTCAGCCCTAATGTTTATTTCTGGTTTTCTTAGCATTCACACTGTCACCGAATCTAAAGATAAAAAACAAAAAGTATAAGGATACGGTCACAACCTGGGGTGTGTTTCCCAAAAGCAACTATGGTCGCAAGTTCCATTGTTACCAATAGAGTTCAATGGAACTAATGACCATAGTTACTAACAATGGTTTTGTTAAATGCACCCCTGATCGGATGAGTGCATTTAGCCTTATCACAACATTGTTTTGGATGATCGGCAAGTTCACCGAATACACATCATGTTTTGTGAAATTACCAATCATCCAAAACAATGTGTGCCGGGATAAATGTGCTTGATGTACATGTATACATATGGTGGTATTTCTACCAGCTGATAACTCACTAAGAGCTTATAAAGAATACCTCAGTTGGACACATGGAAATCTGCTGTAATGAGACGGCTGTTCTGACGCCTGTACCAAACTGTAATGGCCAACAATAGCTCCTATGATGAGAAGAATCATGTATGCTTAAACATTTTTGCCTTTTTCAGGTCGCATCTTGTGACATTACATCCTGTTTTTGGTTCATTTAGATGTCTTAGGTCCACACTGCTTTCATATTTCAGTCAAACTGCAAACCTGCCAAGTGTAATCATGCCTTAAAACACAACCAAACTGACTTAGACAAACACATCTTTCTTTGTCTCACTTATTAACATTTTTTGCTGAGGTAAAGTAACTGAAAAACAAGACGTATTATATAACCATAAAACCAAGAAATGCATCTTCTGCTTGCTTTTACAGGGCCTGGCCTGTACAGTCATGAAGTCTTAATGTAAAACGCCACTTAACGCTGCTGTGTGGTGCCTGCACATGGCCCATGTTTTCCTCTCAGCTGAGTGAAACTACAACAAATCCCCAAACGAAGTGTGATCAAGCACAATGCATTTGAACTGTACTTATGCAACAGCCTGCCAGCTTCATGAAATATCAAACTCCAACCAGGAGCAAACCAGTCCAAACCTATTAGGACTTTGTTTATGGAAGGAATTTCTGGTTATCAGACAAAACTGATCAGATTTTCTAAAGAGCCCATTATTAGGTGAACTTTAAGTCTCACTTTTTAAAAACAAGTCTCACTCTAATTCTCGCAAATATGCAGAACATGCTACCAAATGGATAAAAAAAAACATTTGCCTGTAAACAAACAGAAATTAGCCATTGCACTCCATTGCATCAACATTTCTCTTAGGAGTCATCTTCATAAAAATAGTTGATGTGGGTATTGCAGCACTGTAAAAAAAATAGTTGGTCACCAAAAAAGGTTGCAGGTTCAAAACTCTGCAGAGTGTTATTCAAGAGTCAATAACACAGCAAGGACATGTTTGGCCAAGTAATCACTGCAATATTTTCTCTTTTTCTCTCTCTCTTTTTTGTCATTAAAGGGGTCATATGATGTTGCTAAAAAGAACATTATTTGGTGTATTTGGTGTAATGCAATGTGTTTATGTGGTTTAAGGTTAAAAAAACACATTCTTTTCCACATATTGTACATTATTGTTTCTCCTCTATGCCCCGCCTTTCTGAAACGCATTGATTTTTACAAAGCTCATCGGTCTGAAAAGCGAGGTGTGCTCTGATTGGCCAGCTATCCAGTGCGTTGTGATTGGCCGAATACCTCAAGCGTGTGACGGAAATGTTACGCCCCTTACCATACTGTAATGCCCTGTCAGGCCGGAGCGTAACAGAAAACCATGTCTGCATTTGTGATCGGAGAAATGACAAACAACAAGCGCTACTCTACACTGCCCAAAATTCGCGTTTGAATCATCAGTGGCAAATTCTTTAAATATAAAAAACGTACTTACAGTCTGTGAGTAAGAACAGCCGGCATTGTAGTCTACTCTACCAGGATCAAGAAACAGTCCTCCATAAAATGTGCTGCACACATCTGAATATTTGGGTTGAAGTATTCTGGAACAGTGTTGTAAATACAACTTAACCACTGATTTCTAGTCGTGTCCTCTTTTGGAAGGCCAAACAAAGTAGTTTCGCTTTCACAACGAAACACAGCGGCGGCCTAGAGTGAGGAACAGCCGGCGGGCTGAGTGAGAGGAGGCCGGTGAGCTTGAGAACGGTGCGGCCGGTGGATTCGAAGAAGGAGCGGCCGGCGGGCGTGCAGCAACCACATGTGACGACCCTGGTCTGGACTCCGCTTCGTCAACGATGAAAGCCAATCCGGCGATCCACCGCGCAAAGTTGATGTATTTCCTCAGCGACCAGCACGGATCAGCTCTAGGCATGACGAAGCGGATATCGTCCTCTTTTGGAAGGCCAAACAAAGTAGTTTCGCTTTCACAACGAAACACAGTGTCTCCACGACATGGCGGCAGCGGCAACAATACTACAGCGAGAATAAAAGTTACACCTTTCTTTGCGTGAACATTTGGGCGGCGTTATGCAAATATTCCCACATCGTGACGTAGACATGTGGGGGCGTGTTAGAACGAGCCGTTTTAGGTAGGCGTGGTTGACTCTTAACTTTTATAAAGAATATCTCTTTGGATTTGAGACTTTAGTCTTTGCAACTTTACAGATCTTCTTTATGCACCAAGAGCTTGTAACACTTCAAAGAGAAAGAAAACATTTTAATCGCATCATATGACCCCTTTAAGTTTTGGCATACAGATTACTAATGTATAATTATATGGATGTTGTTACTGTTACGAATAAAATAACCATTAAAAATATAATTAGAAATGACTAAAACACCATGGAAAATAACTATTAAAAATATCATTAAATGATTTAACCATACGCAAACATCTTTTAAAATTGCATTTAGAGTATAAATAAAGTACATTGTCATATTTCATATTTTCCTAGAACACAATCTGGATATTAAAGGGTTAAGACATTAAACATCCAATTAAGCAATGACATATAATGAATGTTCTCAAGTTTACAAGGCAATTATAGAAGCACTGGGATTTAGTCAAATCATGGACAGCTCAGAATGGCCCCGTTTCACAGTCATAGTCAAATTTAAACGTGAGATCAGCGAACACTGGCCTTTCAGGTCACACTGCATGCATACATACTTTCACCCTCTGCCTATGAAAGACGTTTCAGTGTTTCCCCCAAACAAACATTAGTAGCTTTCGATTTGGCAGGCAGTGTCTGGCGGTTATTTTACAGAAAATTCCGAACGCGATTATAAAATGGCATCGCAGCCAAGTCATACAAACAAAATGTAACTTATCTCCAGTTCGCGTCCCTGCGCACTACAGAGCATACAAACAACACAGATTACGTTATGGTTGTTTCTTTGGTTGTGTAACCAACAAAGAACCTCGAGACTGACTGTTCCGAATGTTTCACAAATCAAATGTACTCACATCTCAGTGGGCGCTGTGTCAATCCATATAGCCATCGGAAGAGTTGTGATGCATGTAAGCTCTGTTGCCAAATTCCAGCGCGCTGCCTCTCGCTCTTCTTTGCGCTGCTGCATAGTGTGGCCCCGCCCTTATGCGTGACGCCACCCTGCTCGGCCCCGCCTTTCCCACGCGCTCTCTCCGCAACTACACGTGCAGGCACAAACACGAAATATTGTTTATACAAGACAACGCACTAATAATAATAATAATAATAATAATAAATAATAATAATAATAATAAAAAATATATATATAATAGTTGAAAATACTGGTTTGCACTTAATTAGTTTAATTATAATTGTGACAGAGTTATAAACAATATCTTCAATTGTGTTATTTGTTTATGTGCATATTATATTCTAGTAGTCAGTTAAGTTACACTGAAGCTAAACGACAGCATCTCTTAACGAAAATTTGCAGGACCATTAAGTGAGACATTTATTTGAATTGGACAGTAATGTGGTTCATGGGTGTATTTGAAGAGAGGCAGTATATCTCCGATTACGATTAGTCTACAAATTATACTGGTGGGATTGATCCTCGTTTCATAGTGCAATGCTTCTGCAATCACAAGTCCCTATTCCTCACAAAATATGTGAGATCATGGGTTCCAATAACTATATTGCCATCGTGTGGATGGTTGTTAAAAAACAGTCACAGTCACAGTTTTCATTTAATTTTATTTCACTTTCTGTTTGGTGGAGTAGCCTATCATTTACCACCAGCCATACAATGTTTTTACAATTTAGATCTTACACGATGCAGGTTACCCTATATTGGAAACAATGTTATACCATGAAATATAAAGAAGAATTTTGTGTTCATAGTTTTCATTATAACATCATTTTATAATACAAAACGATTTGAGACTAAATCAAAAGCAGTCTCTTTTTTCTTACAATAACATGACAATAAATGATCAAAATACCCTACACTAGGGCTAGTTGTCATACTTTTTACTCCAGTAAATATTACTCAAATTAAGTTTATTTTTGACTATTATACTTTGGAATAAGATACAGTTCATACAGTGGGGCATGTTGTCACAATATATGAGGTGAATGTTTTGTGTATGTTTTATTGGACATTTAGCAGAAATATAAACAGTAAAATCATAAAATCGTGAAACAAAAATGTAGAGGTAACAGAAATAGAAATCCATTGTTTTGGGCAATAAATTATTAATATTGAATAATACTAAATAAGATTAAACTCATGACGTATGCTCTGGAAGAAGAGAATTTGTGAATTGTTAAATCTATACAGAAAGCTAATACAGCTGACGCATTTGTACTTATGGACATCAGAGGATGTCGATTAAAAATCTCACCTTAGATAACAGGTGCATCTACAATGAGCTCAATAACTGTTATTTTAGAGAAAGAGGTGAACCTCAAAGGTCTTTCTTAGCCTCAAGATCAAATTAATACTGCAGCCCTATTATTTCTATAAATAGCCTAAACTGGGTCATGAATCTTTTCTTAGGTGGATAGATAATCATTTTCATATCACCTATTTACATAGATTCATGCGAATGTGTATTTGATTAATATTCCCATGGCTGTTAGTGTAAAACAAGGGTAAACAGCTATTTTGCATATTTAACATATGTATCTTCATGAGTCACACACACACACACACATGTCCGGTTTGTTATCCTTGTGGGGACTCTCTATAGGCATAATGCTTTTTCTACTGTACAGACCATATTTTCTATCGCCTTACACCAACCCTACACCTAAACCTACCCCTTACTTATTACGTAAATGAACGCGGGTGACTGGAACGAAAGGAATTTTCACATACTTCTCTCTCTCTCTCGCTTCTTCTAGACGATTTTAAAAGAGGGAAAGTTGATGAAACAGACGAATTTTCAGCGCTGGAAGAGACGTTATTTTAAACTGCGGGGAAGAACGCTGTACTACGCTCAGACGGCCAAGGTCTGTTCACACACACACACACACACACACACACACACACACACACAATTGGTAATGAAACAACTGTCACTCAGAAATTGCAAGTACATTTTACAAACAATTACAGTGAAACAGCAAATAACACACTGAATCAAACATGAAAGTAGGAAGACTGGGATAGTATTTTCCTGTAAAATGCACTCAAATAATTTGTTTTAATTATTTATTTACAGTGAAATTCACTGCTTTGAGATGACAGATGAAGAATCTGTCATGCTAAAGTGCACTTATGGGTTTGTTTTCATATAATTTAAAACGGACAACACTAGTTAATGTTTAGCATAACTATTTCACAAGAACATGACTGCATTTAATTAATACATTGGTGTTTTGAGACATGTATAGATCCATTTCACAGTTAAATAAACTTTTCACAGTCGCACAGCTATTTTTATTAAAGAAGGTAACTAAATACTGACTCTAGCAACACATGAAGACAGATGCTATTTTCTATACCATTACCTCACCAGTATAGATTCCTTCATGAAAATCCAAAGTGCTCTGATGGCAGTGCAACTTGATATCAGTAGTGCTACAATTATTGATTGAAAATTAATTTCAGTCACATCTAGTTGGTCTCTTCAGTCACATAAACAGATTATTTTTTTAGACATTATTTATTTTGTTGAATTGGACCAGACTTCTATTTTTAAATAAGTCCCTACAGCTAGACTCTAAGAATAGTGGAGTCTGGTCCTTTTCTTGTCATTGGTCATTGCACAGTGGCCACACCAGTGAGAGACAGAACCAAACATTTGAAGGACAATAAATAATGTAGATAGATAAACAAACCAGCTGGACAGTGTTGGTAACAAACCAACTAGTAATGTGAGCATTTAAAATTGAGAGACTGAGAAAATTGTTGTTCAGCAGCTATGCGTCTGGTAGTTTTACAGTTCCTGGCTGGATTTTTTGGAGCTCTAAGCTCAGTGTTCCTCCTGGGATCTCTTGGGTCTGATTACTGGCTTATGGCATCTGAATCTTGTGGAGATGCTGCACTTTTCAAATTATGGAAAGTCACAAAGGTAAGGCTCGGACATATTTGCCATATTTTAAAAAGATCTGTCCATGTGTTTGATTAGACTTTAACTATACATTTAAATGATTTATCAGAGAATTCACCAATTACTTTTTCTGACAAATCAGACATACAAAGAATGAATTAATCCACCTGGGACCAGAACCATAAGCCTGCATTATATTGTAGTTGATATCTTTCACTGAAACAACAACATTTGAGAAAGAAACATTTGCCTTCTTTGAATAAAATACCAGTTTACACTCTTAAAAATAAAGGTTTTAAGAAAAGGTTTCAGCAGCGATGCTACAGCAGAAACATTTTGGGTTGCTCAAAGAACTGAAAAGCTTTTAAAAGAACCATTTCTTTCGTAGAGTAAAAGAACATTTTAACAAATAATCTTTTTCAACTACAACTTTCTGTGCAATGGAAAAGTTCCATAGATGTTAAAGGTACTCCATAGATGCCAATAAGAACTTTTATTTTTGTATGAATTTACATGAATTTACATTAATTTTATGCTGTGGACCAGCACAGCCATGTAGTTCACAAACAAAAAATGCTGGTCAGCCAGCATAGTCTTTCTAAAGAAGCTAGCTGACTAAAGAAGGGTTGCTTCTTAAGCTAGTTAAACCTTGTAGGTACATGATGGTAAATGTTCAGTAGGATTAATATATTTGGAACAATATCAATTTAGAAGGAACATTTATTTATCATCTTATTTACTAATTTGTTTATCATCTTATTCATTAGGATTTCTCTCAAGCACAACCAGACAGTAGCAATCAGGCTGAAAACTCCCTTCTGCTCTACCATGAGGGTCTTTTTTGGAGATGTTCCTACCATAGGGGTTCAAGTGGAGAGCAGGGCAGCATACTGGCTTATTTAATAAGTAGGTGAACTCTTTCTTTATTAACATGCAACATGCAACTTGAACAATAGCACTATCGCTTGTGTGATATTGCTTTAATCTGAAAAAAAACAAAAAACAGACAGTGCTTATATTCTTAAATATATACTGAATCCCAGTATATATGTCACGATGGTCGCCGTGATTTTGCCAAATAAGACATGTTCCTGGATCAACATCTTTTGTTGATCCTGGATCAACATTACTGTCCAAAAATATAGACTAAACCCAATCCCTACCCCTAAACCTAACCCTACCCATAATTTATTCCTAAAATCAGTGGGAAATGATAGCTGATTAACAAGGGTGTAGAAGCACCTAACCCTGATCGTAAGCCTAAAACAGATATTTCCTGAAAAGTTATCCCTCAATTCTGATTGATTAATTGGAATGTTGTTCCAGGATCAACAAGGATGTTGATCCAGGAACATGTTGTACTTGGTGAAATCACGGTCACCATGTCACGATACTGCTGTTAGGTAGACGAAAGTGCGACGAAGATTATACCAACAAATCCTTTTAATTGTAATCCACACGAGGAAGAGGGTCTAACACACAGGGTAACATCAACAATACCGGACAAAGGAAGACAGGACAGACTACACTTTAAATACGGGAGCAAATGAAGATAATTAATGACACATACCTGAACTAAATGACACAATAAAAAAACATGAGGGAAACTAGGTCACACAGAGCACAGAGGGATGAAAACAGAACAAAAGTCCAATGGGGTGTGACAATATATATACAGAAGGGGGGTACAAAATTTGGCACCATTTATATATATATATACAGTATGTATATATATATATATATATATATATATATATATATATACACACATATATATACTC